TCCGCATTTACAGAGCATTGAAGACCAAACAGCCCGAAAGCTAGCTATAAAGGGCCCCAAAAATGACAAGTCTAAAACCATTTAAACGGGAAAACCAACGGTCTTATTTATAAAAAAACGAGAAACGAGAAACACTGAAGAACCACATTAACAAACGACAACTACTGAACATCAGATTCCTGACTTAGGACAGGTGCAAACAAATGCAGTGGGTTTAAACGTTTTAATAGGTACCAACCTTCACCCTTATCTGAAACAATAGTGTAACATCACAACATAGAAAGACACAATCTGCATGTGAAAATACCCATTTTAGTCTATAGCAATCGAATTAAATATGATCCTCGTTCAAAGGCACACATGAAATTAACCACTAAAAAACCACACACTATCATCATATTCATTAATGTAAAGGAGTTTACATCATTCTTAAGTGATTAGTGGGTCAAATAATAACTGTGTGCAAATTGTGAACAAGTTGAATACAGAGAAGGGCATTATTATAAATGGTCGTGTGTTAAACAGTCAACAGGCAAATCAATTACTACCCACATCATAAGAAAAAGTAAAATCACAAAAATACTGAACTCCTAGGAAAATTCAAAAAGGAAAGTTCCTAATCAAATGGCAAAATCAAAAGCTCAAACACATCAAACGAATGGATAAGAACTGTCATATTCTTGACTGGGTACAGGCATGTTCTTATGTAGAAAATGGTGGATTGAACCTGCGTTTATAGCTGGCTAGACCTCTCACTTGTATGACAGTCACATCAAATTCCATTATACTGACAATGCTATGATTTTAAAACAAAGTAATAATTTCATTAATATTGTATAAGTAACTACGATAAATTAAAAATTTGAAAATGTTTGTGAGCCTTTACTGGCCTCTAGATTTGCGACTATTTTCTTTCATTGTTAAAACCCGCATTGATAATTTTCGATTGTAAACACTTTCATTTCAAGTCGGCACACTGTTATTTCAATTAATATGAGCTAAATATAGATATAAGGTGATGCGTTTTGTTTTTAAATCTTTATCAAAACGTCCATTTGAGACCTCATTTAATAGGGACTTAGATGTTTGCTTTTCTTCAAGGCTATATCGCACATTAAAAAAGCTACTAAAGGGACCACATAGTATCATCAGAGTAATGTGATAAAGGAGGTGACATAATTAATGTATGCCAAATGGATCAACTAATAGCTCTATTTTGAACTTATTCTTTACAAAGAAGAAAAAAAAATAGTATTTCAAACTCTCAACAAGCGAATCAATTGAAACTTACAATATAAAAAAACCGCAATGATTTTAAAACAACATAAAAATGACAATGCCATCGCAAACTACAAAAATAACAACAACAAAAAGACGAACAAGTCCGCAAAACACTACTAAAAAAATGATTCAGCAATAAGAGCCTCACAAAAAAAAAAGCTATATTGATGTGCAACGAAAGAGTGAGCATTTCTAGTCGTGTTAACTTCCTTTATCCATCAAGGCAAGATCCTCAAGGTAAGATTGCCATTGCAATGTTTATCAGATAATTAAGTTTCAAATATAATGAACGTGAATATGCTAATATATTATTCCTCCTGAAATGTCAGTTTTTTTGTCTTTTTTTTTTATTTACGCAGGTGTGATCATGTGAATGGGTGCGTTTCAAAGTTTGAAATTGGCGGTAGGTATTTTCAGACTATAGCAGCATTTACTTACCAGTTCTTACGACTTTATTTTGATTAGTCCTTAGTTTTAAATGTATTGTTTTGTGAACTTGTTTGTCTTTTCTTATACAAGTCATGGATAAGTATTTTCAGTGAAACGCTTATTAAAACTTAAATGAATCTGATCATGCTTGGTTTTGAATGTACTCGTTATGATGAAAATTAGAATACATTCATTGCAAATTGTATATGGAGTTCTGAAAAAATACTGATTACCAAACTGTAGCATTGAAGTGAGCTGACCTCAAAAGACAGGTCAAATATCGTCCACCTAACAAATATAGCTGACCGTGAAGATATATATAATGTTCGTGCAAAGTGATGTGTCCTCGTGTCAACTGTACATTTGTACTTTGAACCTAACTTTACATTCGAGTATAGCTTGCCACGAAAAAGGTAAAACAAAATTACTGAACACAAAGGCAAATTCAACAAGGGGGAATCCATTTAAACTGATAACATCAAAAGCTCTCAATCAACGGAACAAATGAAAAACAACTGCCAAAACCCTGACTTGGTACAGGCATTTTCCGAAAAAAATGATGGGATTAAACTGGTTATAGCTTGCTAAACCACTCACGTGTACAAGACAAGTGACTAAAGAAATCAAACATACATACAAATTGAAGGAGGAGTTAAACTGTTTATATCATATTATCGTACTGAATAGACAGGGCCTTCTTTTGTTTTGTAATTGCGGGTTGTAGCTAGTAATAAGCCATCGAATAACTACATAAAAAGCATTTTAAGACCTATAATTTATCAAATACTGCCTACAGCGTTATCATATCATACGAATAATCTGAATTCTTTTTTTTTAGCGTCCAAAGTCAGAATTTTGATTCTTTTATTTCGACCTTTTATGTTTGTCCAGACATACAATTTTTCTTTATACTTTTCCTATCAGTAGGACTATCTTCAATAACACATAACTATCTGATATCGTTGAGGAAGACGCTGCTTTATCTACTCAAATTAATGAGAACAGCCTTTCTGAAGCATTGACGGGTAAATGTTTTAGTTTCTTCTTTTTCATAACAAAAAACACATCAGGTGAAATGAAAATATCAGATTATATCTCCTTTATTCACAATCATGCACAGCTACAATGTGCATGTTTTAACTTGAACACACAATGGATAAAAGGTTCTGCTGACACATTAAATGAATCTACTGTTCACCTACCTATTGAATGATTGTTATCAACATGCTCAACACGTTTAATGAATGTTACTATATGGAGATAATTCCACATGAGGTTCAGGGCAAGTGACCTTCACGTTGCTGTTCGACTTTTATGATGGATTTATTTTAATAAAGTTACGGTATTCTTCTGTTATAACGAAAACTAAGCTTTTTACCGGCTCCGTGAATATTTTATCTTTTCGTTTATGCCTTACTCTGTATGTCTTGAGTTAACCATTCAACATCTTTTAAAAGCAATGTTAGATATGTAATGCAACCACAACATATGCGGATTCTCTCTCGATTTCTCTCAATTTGTCACACGCACAACTTTCAAATTATTTGCATCTTAGTTTCAAAACAATACAATTTTTTATATTATATCCATTGTTATCTCAGGGACTAAACTTTACTCTTTTTCTCCAGGGGCCAGTTGGGCCCCAAAAATATTTCTTTCAGGGGCCCAGTTGAAATTTGAGGGGCCCAATCAAATTTTGTACTAATAAAACAAAACTTAAATATACTTTTGATATACTTATAAAGCCGTTTTAGGTAATCCTATATGTAATGTTTGAGTCTGGTAAAGATTATGTGTGATAACTTTATAATATTTGAATTATTGCCACCAGAAACATATCATAAGATTTGACAATACTGATTTTAGAACATTTCCCACCAAAATTGTCTCCCTTCAATTTGAACTTCTTGTTGACAATATGGCTGTTTTATAAGAATCATTAAATTAAAGCTATTTCAAATCCAAGCCATTCTCTTATAGTGTTAATCAAAATATTATTCTATTACTTTTTATCGAAGATTGGTAAGCATACTAGATATATTGATATTTATTACGAGATTTTGCGTTTTGTTTTTTCATAGAAGAACAAGTTGTGAGTACAAGTTTTTGTCAAAAACGGATTTGTAATGACCCACTGGACAGCTGGAATACATTTCTGAAGCAATTCAGATTCAACAGTGTAACGAAAACACTAAAAAACAATGAATTAGAAGCTTTAAAAGAGAAATATAGAAAACATGTTTTAAGAAGGGGTATATGTCAAATCGTGACTTCGCATCGAAAATTTTAGTTGTCCGACCAGGTTTTGATTATCAAAATGAACTTACTGGTTTCCGGAAATCCTCTGTTTAATTTCACCGCTTTGATTAGACAATCAGGTTTCTGTTTGGGATCAGTTTTTTGTTTATATCGCGGGGAAAGGGTAGACATGACATGGGATTCAATGAAAAACATTTTCTGCGCCAGCTGGGCAATCAGGATGATAAATATATTTGCGCAGCTGAAAATCTGGTTGCGTTGGGCACTGAGTGACTGTTAAGTTTAGTCCCTGTTATCTCCCTTGGAATAATTTCTGACCAGGATTATCAGCCTTCATGCAAATCCTCAAGTTGTGAACTGCAACTGTGTAAAGTTTCATAAGTATCGGTCCATCTGTTAAGAACGAGTTGTGCTTGCAGACGGACAGACAGGGTGATTCATATATACCATCCACCCCCCCAAAAAAAACCAAAACGTTGTAACATTAACACCCAGTATTGCAAAATATTTTAATGGCACAACTGTCTTCGGCAGTTGCAAAACATTGACTGCCTAGAGATACAAAAGTAAACAAGTTGATGTCATCAAAGTCAACCATGACCACATCTTTGATAATGAATTTCACATAAATTTGTTTACTTTTGGATCTCTAGGCATTCTACGTTTTGCAACTAACGAAGTAGTTGTGCCGTCAAAATATTTTGCAATACTTTGTTGTAATGTTAATCAAATTTTTGTGTTTATATAATTAAGAACATAGGTAATCATAGATTACAAATTTTGTATCATTCTGCTCATTATGTGTAAATTGTTAAAAGACAAATATAAACCAAGAGCTACGCCAAGAGCAGCATGTTGAACTCTGTATGTTGGGTACCAATATGGACACACTATTAGTGTTTGAGTTGACACATGCAAATAATGGTGGATTGACTAAGCATCTTTGACATATAAACGTCTTGGATAATCAATTGGAAATAAATCGCTGATATAGGATTTAATATGATGTTTTTTGCCTCTTTGACCCCCTTTTAACCTGAAAACCATAAGAGATATCTGAAATCTGATTGAAAAACGAAGGCAGGGATAATCATGAGTAATCCATTGAAAATAATTCTTACATTTAAGGCTGAAGCCCCACTTTGGGCCCCTATATCTTGAAAACGGTTAAAAGGTCAAATCCATCGACAAACATGTAATATGGAATTAAGCTCTCATATAGACGAACAATTTGGGAAAAAAAAATGTTTATATCGAATAAAAAAAAACAAGGCATGGATTGGAGGAACAGTTAGTATTTGAAATAAACTGTTATCACAGAGATATGTCTCGCCTTTTTGTAATTTTGATAATGCAATGTAAGTTATGCAAATATTCAAAGTCGATGAACCATGACTGCAGGTACATGGCTAAACAATCTCCATGGAATGAGATGTGCCAATGCTAATACAACTGCATACCAAATACCATTGACTTATTAAAAGTTGTTCCCTTTAAACAAACCTAAACACAAACATTAACTTGTAAACTATGTAAAAGTTTCAAAGTCAATGAACCATGATCAGGGGTGGGGCTATATAATCTCCATGGAAACAATACTTGCAAATGCCAAAAAATTTGCATACCAAATATCATGATCTAATCACAAACTAATACATGTAAACTAAGCAAAAGTTTCAAAGTAAATAGACCATGACTGAGGGGGCGGGGCCAAATATACTCCATAGAAATGAGATGTGCTAATGCTTATACAACTGAACACCAATTAACATTGACCTACCACTAATGGTTCCCCTTGAACTGACCTAATCACAAACTAATACATGTTAACTTAGCAAAGTTTTCAAAGTCTATAGACCATGACTAAGGGGGCGGAGCCAAATAATCTCCATGGAATTGAGATATGCCAATGCTTATTCAACTGCATACCAAATATCATTGACCTACCACCAGTGGTTCCCCATAAATTGACCTAATCACAAACTTAACTACATGTAAACTATGAAAAGTTTCAAAGTCAATAGACCTTGACTGAGGGGGAAGGGCCAAATAATCACCATGGTAATGAGATGTGCCAATGCTAATACAACTGCATACCAAATATCATTGACCTACCACTAGTGGTTCACCATGAACTAGACCTAATCACAAACTAATACATTGTTGACGCCGCTGTCGCCGACGCCGAAAACAGCATACCTATGTATGTCAAGACGAGACAAAAATCAATTTTAGGCAGTTTTTTAGACATTATTATCTCAAAGTGATAAAATATCTAGATTCTACTTTTTGACCTGTGAATAGAAATCAATTCCTACTTGTTTTAACTTACACTTATTCTATGATTAATAACTTTTAACCTACCATCAGGGCTAAAAGACTTAATCTCCTTCTCCTCCTCCTCCTCCTCATCATCACATTTGTAATCTGGATCATTATCATCATCATCATCATCATCACATTTGTAATCTGGATCATTATCATCATCATCATCATCATCACATTTGTAATCTGGATCATCATCATCATCATCATTGTCACATTTGTAATCTGGATCATCATCATCATCATTGTCACATTTGTAATTTGGATTATCATCATCATCATTGCCACATTTGTAATCTGGATCATCATCATCATCATCATTGTCACATTTGTAATCTGGATCATCATCATCATCATCATTGTCACATTTGTAATCTGGATCATCATCATCATCATCATTTTCACATTTGTAATCTGGATCTTTTATATCACCATTGTAACCTTCAACAAAAAATCACATCAAAGCATCATTACATTTGTAATCTGAATCTTTATCATCATGGTCATCACCAATCAGGTGAACCCTGTTGTACTACCAAAAACCTATCAACTTACCAAGTATTAATGCTATACACTAGTAGTTAGAATTAGTTCTGAAACGGCCATTTCAGTCTTTTTATATCTGAAATAGTCTAAACAGGGGGCATAGGTAAAATATTCAGACTTTGTCAGACATTCAGTCACATTTCAGATTAATATTGACTGTGGTAAATTAAGACTGTTTCAGATCATTCTCAGACAAAATCAGACCACAGGTAATTAATTGTGTCTGCTCAAAGACTTCGTTAAAGTAAAATAAACTAGATGCTCCCAGGAGTCTGAATCGCTCACCTGGTGTTTTAGTAAAAGATCGTCCGAAGTTTCAATAAGCTATGTTTTTTGACAAATTGGCACTTAAGTAACAACAATTGTGAAGTCCCTTTTCAAAACCTGCAGGAAACACTATGATGGTAACATAGAATATTCAAAACCTGCTATTTTCATTTAGCAGAGAATAAAATTAAAAAAGAAAATATAAAATAAAAGAATTCCAAAATTTTGTCTTTTAAGGATTATGTAGTATGTACCCTTGTGTTGATTCAATGCTAAACATAGGGGTATTTCACATCCTAAATTTTACGGTAATATTGTACTTAAAGCGCGGAAATCACTATGTGATCCATGTAAACTCATCGAACCTTTAAACAAACTTATTAGTAAACGTTATCTTACCAATGTTGTAATTAGATCTTTGAATATAGTTTACATTGGCACTAATATCGATTTTGTCATCAGCAAATTAAAACATAAGTAAATTTGTATTCTTTTCAAACGGGATGTATAAAGACACACCCAAGTTCGTTTTGATCTATAAAGAGGTTAAACTCCTAACTATCCTACTGTCTGTCGATACATTTATTTTTGGCATTGCACTAGTCATGTCTTCTTTGACTGTCCATGACGTTAAAATACTAAATCCCTGGGATGTGTTTTAGTTGATTTTAGTCTCTGATGCATGATTTTTTATTATTAATTGTTTTGGTTTTTAACTAGCATGACTAGCTGTCAGTAACTGCGAGTACTCTCAAATCGTACTTTCTTGTTTATTTGACCTGTTGATACTTATTGTATTGCTTTTTTGTTATTTAATGTTATTCAGGGTTATATCTGGTCTATATACCAGCTTTGATAAGTGTTTGGTATTTAATACTATAAATTTTCACTTCGTACTATGAACATCAAAATTATTTATTTTGTAAAAATATTTCCTTTCTCTATTGGAACTGTACACGTATACCTAACAACAAAATTATTTTCATTTACCTGTGTTTAAAGTTATTGCAAATGGCTGATATTTTTGTTCGAACATATTGTTTTTCTTTAATTGTTTAACATTTCATACCGATATAACATGTTACTTTTATTATTCTTCCCTTAGTTTATTTATTTTGTATTTACATTGTATCATAGGTCAAATTTATTTGTTCAGTGTATGTTCAATGGTGTTAATATGTCCTTTGATTCAGTTAAGCTATTTCAGTTGATATTTTATAGTGTGTCTTTCTATGTTGTGATGTTACACTATTGTTTCAGAAAAAGGGTGAAGGTTTGGTACCATTAAAATGTTTAAACCCGCTGCATTTGTTTGCACCTGTCCTAAGTCAGGAATCTGATGTTCAGTAGTTGTCGTTTGTTGCTGTGGTTCATAAGTGTTTCTCGTTTCTTGTTTTTTATATAGATTAGACCGTTGGTTTTCCCGTTTGAATGGTTTTACACTAGTAATTTTTGGGGCCCTGTATAGCTTACTGTTTGGTATGAGCCAAGGCTCCTTATTGAAGACCGTACTGTGACCTATAATGGTTTACTTTTATAAATTTTGCTTGGATGGAGAGTTGTCTCATTGGCACTCATACCACATCTTCTTATATCTAGATATGGAAATTTAATAGAAATTTCACAGCCTTTCCTCTTGTACTCTCATATTTGGCAATTCGTTGTTTGATAGATAGAGGACTAGTACTATTGCATGCAGTGCTAGAAATGATTTCCTTAAAACAAGTTTATAAATTTAGATATTGGTTAAAATAAATATAAACATGATAAATATGGACCAATTCAAGTTCACCTTCTAGGGTGCGCTTGACTTTCATTACTCAGCAGGAGGTTTTTTGGAATTTAAAGGTTGTTTAGGACTTTTTGTAAATAATGAACGCTAGCACATCATAGAAAAATAAGTGAGTAATCTATGTTTAAAATTTAATAACAAAAATCTCTGTATTAAAGTCTGTGGATTTTCTACAAAAATCTAGGTTTATTTGCCACAAAATCCACTTTTTCTATTAAATTCAATGAAACAATAAATAATAATAAAAAAATATCAATCCTTACAAAAGGGTTCTTTATCTGCTACATCAATCGTGGGAGACGTCCTTACATTGGTAGCATTTAACTAGCACATGTCTTGTTCTATGTTTCTTGATATATATACTTTATTTTTGTAAGTACAAAAAACATGAATTATATCACAGACGACACAAAGTTTAACAATAAGATGAAATTTCAAATCAATTTTATGATACCTATTACATTTCATCAAGAACTATTATTATATTTTTTTGCTTTTTTTTCATTTTCCTATTACTTTTTTTTTCTGTGTTTTTTTTTTTCATATATTATTGTATACAGAAAACTTTATTGTAACACAGTCAACCCTGTTCGTCACAGTTTCATATAATTACTCGCAAAAATGTATACTAAAAATAAATTAAGGAATGAGCATATATACATAATATTTATGTAATATGAATTAAAGGTGCAATTACTACATTTATAAGTAAGCCGCCTACCAAAACCAATAACAACAATAAATAAATTGCTTCGCTGAGCGCAGCCTGACATGACCGCAGAAATCAAGCCCTGAACAGTTGGGGCAAATTTGGACACAATATTCAAACTTGATACTGTCATGACTGTCTGAATTTTGATTGTGAAAAAAATGTGCCCCCCAAAAAAAATGGGACCCCCCCACTCAATCCCAGCCTTCCCTTTGTGGTATGGAACTTTGTAGTACAATTTTAGAGAGATCCATACACTAAAACACAAGTTATTGTCTGGAAACTAGAAAAATGCTTGTTTTTTTGGCCCCTTTTTTACCCCTAATACCTGAACATTTGGGGCAATTACCCCAAAACTCAATCCCAGCCTTTCCTTTGTGATATTGAATCTTGACGTACACTTACACACAAGTTATTGTCCGGAAACTACAAAAATGCTTGTTTTTGGCCCCTAATTCCTAACTGTTGGTACCATAACCCAAAATATCAATCCCAACAGGGTCTTCCTTTTGTGGTATTGAACCTTTTGTTAAAATTTCATAGAGATCCATTCACTTAAACTAAAGTTATTGTCCGGAAACCAAATGTGTCTTTGGACGACGCCGACATCAAAGCATTGTAAGACGCAAATTTTTTTTTGCGGTCGTATAATAATAATGCTTTGCACAAAGTTTCCCCTTGGTATACATCGTATATGTACAAAATGGACCATCTCTATTATTCATTACAAATGTATCTTTTCTGTTTTGATACTATTGCAGTTTGAAAATTTCGTAATTCACATGGCTACAGAAGGGGTCGTAAACCTTAATTTCTTTGGCTTTGCTGGATTTGAAGTATGGGTTTTTCATTTTAAAATGCCTCAAAAATGACTTGAGAATTTTCGGCTTGTAGATTTACAAGTGGGTTTGTGAAATTTTGAAAGTACAGGCCCCTTTGGCCTTACTTCAAAAAGTTCAGTGGAAGACAGCATCCAGAGGTCACCTCAAGGTCTTCAACATAGTGGAAACCCACCCATGAAGCAAGCTCTGAATCTAACCCCGATGACACCATGTTGTAAATTCATTCATATTTCAAGCCAATCCTGAACATAGATTAAAAAAAAATTCTGCTATATACACATGTGACATGATATAGCTGTACAAATTTGGGAATAAAATAGCAAGCCCACCAGCGCCTCTCCTCGGGCAGACTGGTAAATTTAACAACTCTGGTAGAGAGCATATGTAACAAAACATATGCTCCGGTGACATTTGTTGAATGATCCGCCGGAACAAATTTCATAGGAAATATGTTCCACAGATGATTGTAAAGGAAAAAAAAAAGAAAACTACTGATCTTATTTGAAATTTTCCTTTAAATGAATGTTCTTTTGTCTAAGACATGTAAGATGCATGATTTTTAGTCTTAGATGCATGATTTTTTTTATTAGTTGTCATTTGCTTTTAAACTACATGTAGCTGTCAGTAACTGCGAGTACTCTCAGATCTGTACTTACAGTTCTGCCAACTTTTCATGAAGCAAATGCGTGAGATTTGGCCAAAATTGTAAAGATCAAAGAGAAAAAAACAATAGATCAAAGGAAAATGCAGCCAAATAAGCATGCAAATGCGTGAGTCTCACTTAAATAACTTAGTGTCTTTTTGTTGTTAGGATGTACAAGTACCCAGCAACATCCTCTATGTGTTTTTGTTAATAGATGTACGATGTATTTCTATTTGTACCCATCTGATGAGCTAAGCCTTTTTCAACTGATTTTTATAGTTTGTTCTTATGTTGTACTGTTACACCGGTGAACCATTGTCCCAAGTTAGGGGAGGGTTGGGATCCCGCTAAGATGTTTAATCTAGTCACATTCTGTATGTATGTGCCTGTCCCAAGTTGGGAGCCTGTAATATTCAGTGGTTGTCATTTGTTGATGTGTTACATATTTGTTTTTTGTTCTTTTTTTTATACATTAATTTAGCCGTTAGTTTTCTCGTTTGAAACATATTTATATCCATTAACCAAGCCCCTATGGAGACAAACTCAATATTATCTGTTGCTTGGATTATGGAATCACGGTCACACTTGTTATATGTTACGGTCATCTTAAAAAAAAATAATAATGATGAATTAAGGTCATCTTAGCGATTTTTTCAAATTGAATTTTCTGTCTCATATACATTTCTCGGTCATGTGTCGGTAGTAATTTATGATTTCCGTGTGAATCTTTTATAAATTTATATCATACCAATGTATGTTTTATATTATAGAATATATCATCAGTCATGATCATAGAAACACTTAAATAGACAATATAGACTCTGACCTAATTCTGCATCCACCATCTTGGGATGAATCGAATTACGGTCATCAGCTTTACCCCAGTGAATGATAATCTGTTTATCGCTATTTTACCTATGACGACGTTGTTAATTTCATTGACAATGGCCATTTGCTCTTAGTTTCTAGCGATAAGTTTTCATATCACGGTACTGTGCTGAGAAAGGAAATTATCAGTTGGTAAGGGAGCTACCATTTGATTTTTATGGGGGGCTAGGATGAAATTTGAAAAAAATAGGCAGGACAGGAGTTTTGAGTAAAAAAAAAGGCAGGATGAGACACTTTGCAAAAAAAAAAAAAGGCAGGATGACAATTTAAGTAAAAAAAAAAGTCAGGATAAACTAAAAAAAAAAAGCAGGACCGAATAGAGTGAAAAATAAAAAGGCAGGACAGAGATTAAACTTAAAAAAAGGCAGGACAACATTTTTCATCGTAGCCCCCCCATAAAAATCAAATGGTAGCTCACTAAGATCAAAGGAAAATTTCATAAAATAGCGATAATACATGTTTTTATTTAAATGTACTTGAATAATAACTTTAAACTCACTGATGACAAATGCTTAGTATATAAGATAACTTGATTAACCAGTGGAACATATTTTACAGACTAGGAACTTATTTCACCAGGTGAGCAACTAATCTCACAAACCCAGAATTTATTTCACCAGGTAAGGAACAAATCTCACAAACCCGGAACTTATTTCAATAGGTAAGGAACAAATTTCACCAAACCAGAACTTATTTCACCAGGTAAAGTGTGGAACTTATTTTATAGAGATGGAACATGTTATATAGAAATTATCTGTGAAAAAAGTTCTCCCAGATCATACTTTCTGTGATATTATAGTTATGTAACCGGAGAGCATGATTCTTCTTACAAAATCATCTCTGTCTCCACCGGGACTCGAACCTGGGACCTCTGTGTTAAAAAAAAAGCGTGTTAACCGACTGGGCTATAGAAGTACTTCCTTAGCTCAATCACTTACGGCTGACTATATTAAAGTATCTACCACATGTTCTGAGGGAAGCAATCCCGTCACAGTTCCACTGGAACTTTTTTCACAGGAAAAAACTTTGGCTCACACATACGCCCACAGGCACCTGTCTCAGAAAAAAAATGTCCTATATACCTCAATATAACATTAAGGTATATAGGAAAAAAAAAATTCTGAGACAAACAAAAGTAGGCGTGTTATATATACACCATTGTGTAGAAAAATCAATTTAGATTTACGACATAAGTTTTAGTGGAGTTGACAACCGACAAATCGGCATATAACGGAATTTAGCGACCGGCTGACTTTTTTCAAAAAAGCGAGGAAATTATAAGGCGTATTACGCCTGGAAATAAGGCGTAAACCAGGCGTAAGTGGTAGTTACGTGTCTAGATCCAGGCGTAAGGGAGCAGGAACCGTAAATTTGTAGTCCTTATAGGCGTAGAAAAAAGTGGTAAACCTGGCGTAAATTGAAATAAGCAAGGCATAAATTTTCTTACGGGCGTAAAACTGTTGGTATGGCGTAAACCATAATTCCCATAATGCCTTGTTTAAAGGATCATGGGAATTTTTTTCAAAATTTGGCTCTTTGGTTTTAGTTTGCAAGAGTTGGATTAAGGAAAATGTTTTCTGAGACAAGTGCCTGTGGATTACAACTAAAAAAACATGCAGGACAAAATTTTTCATCTTAGCCCTCCCATAAAAATCAAATGGCAGCTCCCTAAACAGTATCATTTTTTGCATAAAATGTCATAAAATCGTCCAAATTGTTTTTGCGTCAATCCACTCGGTGCGAAAATCTTCCAATGCCCGAATGTATAGGCTATAGCCATTCCATGGAATTTACGCCCCTTTGAAAAAAGTTGAATACATCATCAGCCCCTACCCAGGACTGTAATTATGGTCGATCGACAACCCATGCTAAATTTTAGGGGCATTGCCCTTCCTTAATGAAAAACATGAATGATATGAAAGGGAAAACGTGATAAAATGTTGAACAACTATTAAAGTACCGTACCTTGGTCCTCCAGAGGCCGCCATGTTGTTCCGGTCGAGCATGCGCGAAATATTTTGACGTAAAATGTGTGAAGTCATTAAATCGACGTTGAAATATTGTAAGGGAAAACCCACACACACCGTGAAATGAAACAACGAGTAGAAATTTGTGAACATGTTATACTCACCAAAATGAGCAATTTAATAAATTTTACAAAGTCACTACCAGAGTGTATGTAGTGACTTTCCAAAAGGTAGTCACTTTGTTGGTGTGTATTCTAATACGTGTAGTGACTTTCCCTAATGTTCACACGCACACACACACACACTCTACAGCGAAATCAACATGTATGTATTTCTTGTTTTTATAGTGCTAAAGTTGAAATGGTATGTCTACTGCAGAGGGATAACAGGAGCTATACTGCTGGTTGGGGGCTGTTTTGATTTTGTGAAGTTCAGGAGAAGAAGGCAAAAACCAAACACGGCAATTACCAATGATGAAAACAGAATTCGAAGAGTTTCAGGCAAAGGAAATCAAAATGCATCAGAACAAAAGAAAAGTATGCATATATACCATACCACTGATGACAACATATTAGCAGGTCCAAACACAAACTGTTATGCGTATTCAGAGGTAATGATTGAATCCAGCATCAAGAAAGGCCAAAAAAGTGGAACTGAAACTGCACGTAGTAACGCTCAACATGCTCAACAATACCAAAGCCTAGTCCCTGCGACCATGGAGATGCATCATTATGAGTAGAGAACAATATCATAGATATGTCTAATACAGTTACCATTAAAAACATACGTGAAACGTTTTTTAAAAAAACAATAACGATTAAAGAAATGCATTAGGGTTCATGAATAATATTATCAAACAAACACAAGGAGTATCAGAAATGTCAGGGAAAAATACACTTTAATGCCCTTTTTACACACTATCTTGAATTACATTATATATGTAAGTGTTTTAATACAATCTATGCAGTCCATTTGTCCGTAAAAGGATAGGAACGTTCAATTCCGTAGAGTTCTGATATTCAAGTAGGATTACAAATTCAATCAAAAGTATTGTATTTGGACTTGTACATAGTAAAAATCTGACATTTTGTGCTGCATATAATATATTTACATTAACACATCTTTTATTGGCCTGTTTTTTTTATTCAGTAATGATTTATTGTTGAAATGTATATATGTATTATATTGTATGTGTTGTTATGCTTTTAACAAATTTTCTCTCTTAATAAAAAAACATCTTTTGTTACTCTTTTTTTATTTGTTCATTGCCCAATCGATGTACAGCAATAAAGCTTTTTATTAGTTTAATTCAGGAAATGCTTGGTTATTTCGGATTAAAGAGAAATACATAAACCAAAAGAACCTTGTTTCTGTCGAGGTATCATACTTTTATGAATTTAGATAAGTTTTCGGATTCGTTATGTAATGCCTTTTTGCGTAGTAAACAGCATTTGTGAGTGAGAACATAGATTAATGTGCAATAACATTGGAAATTACGAATGCATACTGCGTTCTACATTTTGTTCTATGAGGAAAACAAGTTTGAAAGTCAAATAGTACGATTCAAATGTTACTTAATTGTTGTTTTTAAATATGTTTTAATAAAATCACATTCAGATCCAATAAAACATATAAATTGTCAAGTAAAATATAGTTGTTCTGGTATAGGTGATACACCAGATTTTTGTTGTTGAGACCATGTTAAATGAATTATATACACATAATCACCGCGGTGCGAAAATAAAGATTATTTGAGAGAGGTTGATTACGCTACAAAATTGTAGTTAGAAACACATGCGGTCTATTCCAACAAATTAAAGATGTCATCTAAAAGGGAAATCTTTCAAAAAAATATCACATAGAAATCGTGTCCAAATAAAAACTGTTTTTTTTTTTAAGGTCACATTTTTTAACACATAACAGTACAGTGAGGTCTCTTGGTATGAAGGATATTAGTAGTAATAGAGTGATACTAATTTATGTTAAACAAAATATGTTCCACAAAACCTCTAATTTAACACAATTTTTCAGACTGTTTTTTTATAACGTATTAGCTTAGTACTGTAGTCAATATTATTATTAAAATAAATATTAGACGATTTTCCTCCACTTTGCAGTTTTTTCTAGAAAAAGTACCCCCCCAACCCCCAACCCCCCCCTACTCTAATTTTAATTTCTCTAGCTGAAATAATGATTTAATTCGTCATAGAAACTTGGCTTATAATTTTGAACGCCAGACGCGCGTGTCGTCTACAGATGACTCATCAGTGACGCTCGGATCAAATAATTTCATAAATGTTACATAAATGTAACGACAGCTCTGGATAGAATAGAAATTTGAAAGTTGATTAAAGTTCAAGCTCTACGTATTTAGAAAGTGTCTTTTTTATTAACTTATAATGGGTATCATCCGGTAAAAAGTTAGTGCCTCGGGAATTATAACAACTATTTCAATGACTGTTTTGATAAATTTAGGAATTAAAGGTAACACTAATCATGCTAATGCTCCAACTTTTTCGGGCAAAATTGATCTTAGATAGATTTATCTATTTTTGAAGATACCGTTTGGTCATATATTTCTTCAATTTTCCACGAATTTTTAAAATCTTAAACTTTTTGAACATTCCTGAGAAAAGTTAATCCATAAAAGCGCTACGGACGCACTAAATTTACACAGTGTTATTTTCATTTTTATTTACTGATACAAGGTCGATACCGCTGCTGTGAACTGTCTCCAAGGATGTCATCAGGTAGCAGTCAGTGCATCCATCAGCATATACATGATTTATATAACAACAACTTCAAAATATGTGTTGATAAATGTAAAAATTGTAAGAAACACTAATGTTTCAATTCCCTCAAGCAAAGTTAATCTGAAATTTAAGTTAGCTTTTCTTTCTATGTTCCTTTTGGTCATAAAGCTCCAAAATGTCCTACTTATTTTTCAAATCCTTGGCTCTCATCTTTTTAGTCTTGAGCATTCCTGATAATGGTTAATCCAGCAAAACAGATCAGATGCACGAAATAAATAAATGTTTTTTTTTCTCCATATACAACCAGCTAGTACTATACTGCTAGTGAACTGTTACGTGCCGAAAAAATCATTAGGTAATAGTCAGTGCATCGCCATTTAAATGATTTATAATAACTATTTTCAAAATCTCCATTGCTGAATTAAGAAATTGATAAAAAGCTAAGGTCTTCTCTGCCTCATTCAAAAAAAGCTAACGCTAGATGAATTTGACTACATGTAGGTCCATTATTAAATATAGCCCGAATGTTTATATGTAGTCCTACTTCACTGGCTTTGAAATGTAAAGGTTTGAGTATTCCTTATTGTGTTCACTAGTAACCTGAGTTTAGCTTAAACGGCCAAATAGGTATTAGCCATCTTTAAAAATGATTACTGGAATATTGAATCAGATTAACAAAAATTAAAAACGGGTTTCTATCTTATTCATTCCATTTTAATTTTTTTTAACTAATCAAATAGATTCCCTTGCGGTCATTCATCAGTGACGCTCGAATAAAACAAGTTATAATAAAGGCCAAATAAATACGAAGTTGAAGAGCATTGAAAACCCAGAATGCCGAAAGGTTTAGCTAAATGCAGCTGATCTAATCTGTTCCTGGGGTAGACAATCCTAAAATTCACGAAAAAATTTAAAGTTTTGTACACAGTTAATTTATAATTTATTGTATTGAAATTAATAAACTCGACGGGTGCCACAGTTTTTTGGTGGGGTTTGTGTTGCTCAGTCTTTAGTTTTCTATGTTGTGTTTTGTGTAGTATTGTTTGTCTGTTGGTCTTTTTTTTTTAGCTATCGCGTTGTCAGTTTTATTTTCGACTTATGCGTTTGGTGTCTGTTGCCTCTCTTTGATAACAAGCGGTATCCATCATGTACCTTGCTCAACAATTGTGAGTAGTCTTTACACATGTTAGTCTTTAAATCATAAGATAAAAAGATGATTAAGAATATTACCGTGTCAAATGGATTTTTTTCTGCCTTTGTTGTCGATTTAAATTATCTGCTTTCAAAGACGTCGAACTTTGTTTTTTGCAGATTAGAATTATGCTATTAACGTACCGAATTTTTTTTTTGAAATCTCCACTATGTTATGTGTTACATCTCTTTACCACATACGTTAAGTTGGTGATAGGGCACATGACAACTTGAAAAAAAAACATAAAAAAGCAATTTCTCCCAATTGAATGAAAACATTTGACCCTTTATGAAACACTTGAAATTGATTTTCCTGATTTAACACGTCTCAAACCTACAAAAGGAAAAGGGTTCCGTTCGTATGGAGCAAAAATCAGAAAGCAAAAAACAAAATAAATGAATCTCAGCATCATACAAAATGTATGTGTGTCTGTATGTGTGAAATAGGGTGAGAAAGTATGACCAAATGCATCATCACAAGGACTAAAAATGTAGATATTCAATTTTGAAACATTTACAAGCTACCTAGTTTAACACAAAATGGAAAAGATTATGATAGAAAGGCCAACACAAATAATAGAAAAAGTGGGTAAAAGGAAATAATTATAAAAAGAAGTGTGATGACATTTTACGAGAACAAAAACCAGAACAACAATAAGTATCACCATTTTACCAGACTCGGGATATTTTAGAGCTTGATATCGTAAAAAGACAATAAAGAGCCTGATATCGTAAAAAACAATAGAGAGCTTGATATCGTAAAAAGATAATAAAAAGCCTGATATCGTAAAAAGACAATAGAGAGCTTGATATCGTAAATAGACAATAGAGAGCTTGATATCGTAAAAAGACAATAGAGAGCTTGATATCTTAAAAAGACAATAAAGAGCCTGATATCGTAAAAAGACAACAGAGAGCCTGATATCGTAAAAAGACATAAGAGACCTTGATATCGTAAAAACACAATAAAGAGCCTGATATCGTAAAAGACAATAGAGAGCCTGATATCGTAAAAAGACAAAAGAAAGCCTGGTATCGTAAAAAAACAATAGAGAGCTTGATATCGTAAAAAGACAATAAAGAGCCTTATATCGTAAAAAGACTATAGAGAGTCTGATATCGTAAAAAGACAATAGAAAGCCTGATATCGTAAAAAGACAATAGAGTGCTTGATATCGTAAAAAGACAATAAAGAGCCTGATTTAGTAAATAGATACTTTAGAGATTGATTTTGTAACAAGACACTTGTTTATTGTTGAAAACTTTTGTTGACCTCTATCATGTCGATGTATTATTATCTTTTTTGTATAGGGGTGTTGATGTGTCATTTAGGTAAACCTCACATCTATTTCCATTCATGTTTTTCCCTCTCAGACTAAAGTCGGTATTGATATTGTTTAATTTGTAAAAGCTCTGTATTAAAAAAAAAATATGCAGCAGTTTACCCTATGTTCAAATTAAAAACATATCTTGAATAACTGTCAAATGTGCCATGACACCTTAGAAATATTTTGTGGATTTTGGCATTCATGCTTTATTACTTTCTCACTAGTTAATTTCTTATTACTTTACTGGCCGAACATGCTTTCCCTTCCCTAATATATACTGTCATCTCAAAACTCTTCGGATATCTGAAATTGTTGATCCCTCGTTAGAAATACATAGCAGCATGTCAACAAGCGGAATATTTAGGATAGAACATATCCATTCGTGCAGCTTTGAGCTATAAGAAAAAGAAAAGACAAATATGTGCGTTTTTCAACAAATCATAGATGAATCTAAATGACGACAAAATTTTGAAAATCATTATAACATTGCCTTATAATCTGCCTCCATTAGTTTTTTTTTAAGTTCAAGTTAATGAACGAGTACTTGATCATCATAAGGAAGTATTCAACCCATTTAACTCAGACGCATCCGATCTGTACCTTTTTCATTGGCTATATCATGTATAATGACATATATTTTTACGAATTAATATAACAATACTTCCGACTTTTGGGTCATTTGATACAGTTTGCGTATGATGTCATTGTCGACTTTAAAACAATGTCAGTTATTTGCTTAATATTAATACTTTGTTTTAGTGATACAGGGAATAGTTTAAAAGGCAATAACAGTACAATATGTGAGTACGGAGAAAGGTATAGTTTTAACAATATAGTTTAAAGATACTACAATATTTTTTACAATCTCATTGAATTCTATATATTTTTAAACATTTGGATACAAAGCAACAATATGACCGTTATAATACAATCAATGTTTTAGCTGTTAGAACACTATGCCTTTTTTCTGTAGTTTATTTGTTTTCTCCACCAGACAGATCACAAATGAACACATATAAACTTGAATGAACCAAAGAAACAACACAATGTCTTCAACAAGAAAGAGCCTTTTCCGTGTACCAAGATATAAAACAGCATGAAAATAACTGCACATACTAATACGAATGTCCTTTTAATACTCTTTGATACCAATATCATTGTGTTATACATGTATATAAGGTTATACATAATTAGTTAATGAGGTAATTAAGGGTTAGTCATAGAACGAATAGAAATTCGTGGCGACATGATAACGTGTCTGAAAGATACATAAATACATACAGTTGGTCTGATGTATCTGCACAGTACAAAGAGTTTTAACGTAATTAACAGAAAATACTGCATAGAAACGAACACCATTCTTGTCTTAATTGAAATTGAATTATGTTTATGCATATATTTTTATTACTATAGAAACATAGAGTATTGTTGTTCGGACTATGAAGACATAGATGGTACATGTACAGGTAAGTGAATTTTTGTTAAGTTTAAATGAAAAATTAACAATAATTTCTCGTTTTTGTTATCTCCGAGGAAATGGGGATAACTAACATATATTAAGAATGTGTTATTTTGTCTATTTTCTTGTATATCTTGCTTATTTGAAAAAATACAAATAAGTTCTGTGCAAATCAAATGAGAGGCATTGACATTTAAAGATGACAACATCAAACCGGAAGGATTTGGGTCTGGTCTGCAAAACATAGACATGATAGAGCTGGAAAAACAACGCTGAGTCTTATTTCTGCATAAAATGCATTACAAGATATTTTCCATGAATTAGTCTGTTTTATTGACAATTATTGTAGTCAATCTCCAAAACATATTGCACGCTAGAACTATACCATGTATACCATGTTACAATGTATAACTATGAATTCTGTTCATACTTGAGGATTCTATTGTTTTCAGCAACTTATGAAATAACATTTGTCATGGGGAATGATGGATATGCAAAGCTTTTTTTCAGGGTACATCGAACTACTTTTTGAACGTAGAAGCATACATCAATCACACACGGCAGTACTTTCCCAATGCAATACCGTATTATGATTTGTGACATTTGTATTTCAGATATCTGTGAAATTTCAAACTCGTTTCTACGCTTTCAATTGAGAATATCTAAATATGTACAATTTCAATGTCAGACTGGCCTTTAGCCTAGTAATCGATTATTGCCGTACCAAGTGCTTTACAATGGGTATTTTCCCTTGTACGACTCATTCGTTTCATTTTGGTCCTGTCAATATATATATTGGCCAATCAGGAATGAAAGCTATTTAATTTCAACTTTAGAGCACGAAGTTCGTAATTTGTTTTCAAGAATAAACTTATCCGGCTGAAATAGTCAGTGGACCTCTCAACATATTTTTTTTTCAATCTGAGCATTCTAGCTTTGAACTAATGTACAATATTCCACATTTCATGCTTGAACGAACAACATACCTTTCGAAATGGTTTATTTCTTGAAATCTGGTTCATAACATAAAGTTTCATTTAATCATATTTGTTCATGTGTTTATCAGTGTGCGCAATTGGTTTTATGTCAACAATGGGAAAACCATGTTACCATTGTCCGAAAAACAGATTTGGAGAAAGATGTTTGGACCGTTGCAACTGTAGTGAGATTAAAGAACGGTAGAAGAAAAATATGAATAAAATGAATAATTAAATTTTTCTTTCATATTTAAACATATATGTTATGTAATTTCACGATTTGTCTGTAAGACGACGTTCTGATGGTGACCCAAATCATCGTTTTCTTTAAAATGTAATCATGTGGCTAGTAAATGAAAAAGAAAAAAATATGCACCCTGTAGAAATTCGGTGTTGTGTTTAATAGATATAAGAAGATGTGGTATAAGTGCCAAAGAGACAACTCTCCATCCAAGTCACAATTTGTAAAAGAAAACCATTATAGGGCAAAGTACGGTCTTCAACACGGAGCCTTGACTCACACCGAACAGCAAGCTATAAAGGGCCCCAAAAATGACTAGTGTAAAACCATTTAAACGGAAAAACCAACGGTCTTATCTTTATAAAAAACGAGAAACGACAACTACTGAACATCAGATTCCTGACTTAGGACAGGTGCAAAGAAATGCAGCGGGTTTAAACGTTTTAATAGGTACCTCCCTTCACTATTATCTGAAACAATAGTGTAACATCACAACATAGAAAGACACAATCTGCATCTGAAAATACCCATTTTAGACTATAGCAATCGAATTAAATATGATCCTAGTTCAAAGGCACACATAAAAGTAACCACTAGATAACCACACACTATCATTATATTCATTAATATCAAGGAGTTTACATCATTCTTAAGTAATAAGTGGGTCAAATAATAACTGAGTGCAAATTGTGAACAAGTTTAATAAAGAGAAGGACATTATACATGTTATAATAAATAGTCGTGTGTTAAACAGTCAATAGGCAAATCAATAACTACCCACAGCATAACAAATTGCTATGATTTTAAAACAAAGTAATAATTTCATTAATATTGTATTAGTAACTACGATAAATTGAAAATTTGAAAATGTTTGTGAGCCTTTACTGGCCTGTAAATTTGAGACTATATTCTTTCATTGTTAAAACCCGCATTGGTAATTTTCGATTATGAACACTTTCATTTCAAGTCGGCACAATGTTATTTCAATTAATATGAGCTAAACATAGATATAAGGAGATGCGTTTTGTTTTTAAATCTTTATTAAAACGGCCATTTAAGACCTCATTTAATAGGGACTTTTCTTCAAGGGTCGCTACTATAAGCTACTAAAGGGACCACATAGTATCATCAGAGTAATGTGATAAAGGAGGTGACATAATTGATATATGTCAAATGGATCAACTAATAGCTCTATGCATATTTTGAACTTATTCTTTACAAAGAAGAAAACAAAAACTAGTATTTCAAACTCTCAACAAGCGAATCAATTGAAACTTACCATATAAAAAACCGCAATGATTTTAAAACAACATAATAATGACAATGCCATCGCAAACTACAAAAATAACATCAACAAAAAGACAAACAAGTCCGCAAAACACTACATAAAAAGAAATGATTGAGCAGTTAGAGCCCCACAACAAACAAAGCTGTATTGATGTGCCACGAAAGGGTGAGCATTTCTTGTTCCATATATAGCACCAGTCGTGTGAATTTCCTTTATCCATCAAGGCAAGATCCTCAAGGTAAGATAGCCATTGCAATGTTTATCAGATAATTAGGTTTCAAATATAATGAACGTGAATATGCTAATATATTATTCCTCCTGAAATGCCATTTTTTTATGTTTTTTTTTTTTATTTACGCAGGTGTGGTCATGTGAATGGGTGCGTTTCAAAGTTTGAAATTGGCGGTAGGTATTTTCAGACTATAGCAGCATTTACTTACCAGTTCTTACGACTTTATTTTGATCTGATCATGATTGGTTTTGCTATCGTTATCATGGTTATGATGAAAAATAGAATAAATTCATTGCAAATGTATATGGAGTTCTGAAAAAATACTGATTACCTAACTGTAGCATTGAAGTGAGCTGACCTCAAAAGACAGGTCAAATATCGTCCACCTAACAATTGTAGGTGAACTTGAAGATATATATAATGTTCGTGCAAGCGATGTGTCCTCGTATCAACTGTACATTTGTACCTGGAACGTAACTTTACATTCGAGTATAGCTCCCCACGAAAAAGGTAAAACAAAATTACTGAACACAAAGGCAAATTCAACAAGAGGGAATCAATTTAAACTGATAACATCAAAAGCTCTCAATCAACGGAACAAATGAAAAACAACTGCCATAATCCTGACTTGGTACAGGCATTTTCCGAAAAAAAAGTTGGGTTTAAACTGGTGTTATAGCTAGCTAAACCTCTCACTTGTACAAGACAAACATACATAAACATTAAAGGAGAAGTTAAACTGTTTATATCATATTATCGTACTGAATAGACAGGGGCTTCTTTTGTTTTGTAATTGCTGTTTCTAGCTAATCATAAGCCATTCAATAACTACATAAAAGGTATTTTAAGACCTACGATTTATTAAATATTGCCTACAGCGTTATTACATCAAACGAATAATCTAAATTCTTTTTTTTTATTAGCGTTCAAAGTCAGAATTTTGATTATTTTATTTCGACCTTTTATTTTTGTGCAGACATTTTTCTTTATACTTTTCCTATCAGTAGGACTATCTTTAATAACACATAATTATGTAATATCATTGTAGAAGACGCTGCTTTTTCTACTCAAATTAATGAGAACAGCCTTCCTGAAGCATTGACGGGTAAATGTTTCAGTTTCTTCTTTTGTCATAACAAGAAGCAATCAGATGAAAAGAAATTATCAGATTATATCTCCTTTATTCACAATCATGCACATCTACAATGTGCATGTTTCAACTTGAACACACAATAATACCTTGGATAAAAGGTTCTGCTGACACATTAAATAAATCTACTTCTCACCTACCTATTGAATGATTGTTATCAACATGCTCAACACGTTCAATGAATGTTATTATATGGAGATAATTCCACATGAGGTTCAGGGCAAGTGACCTTTACGTTACCGTTTTGGTCTTCGACGTTCAATACAATATATCATTATAGAGTGTGACATATTTTTAATATTGTGCAATATCATTAAAAGCATGTACAATAAGAACTGTTCGCTTTTTATGATGGATTTATTGTTAAAAAATTACGGTATTCTTCTGTTATAACAAAAAGTAAGCCTTTTACCTGCTTCTCTCTCTCTCACTTTGTCACACGCACAATTTCCAACTGATTTGCATCTTA